CCCGAAAGTGGGAGAGCAGCACCTGCCCTCCCAGGCAGCGAGGGGACCACCCGCACCCAGGGCTTCTGCAGGGGAGGCAGGAGCATGGGGCTGGGGTCCGGGAGCTGGGGCTTGTCTGCTGGGGAGCCTCGGCCAGCACCAGCCCCAGGGAGGGGGGGGTCTCAGTTCCCCAAGTCTCTCAGCGCTGGCACCGGGGTGCAGCCCCTCTCCCCTCCCCAGCTCCTCTCCCTTGAGGTGCCCCAGCTGCTGGGGGCCAGCACCTCACCCCCTGCCCACAGCCCAGTCAGCCCTGCGGTGTAACTGAAGAAGGCACCGGGCCGTGGACGGCGTGTGGGGATTAGCTGGGACACAATCGGGGCCTGTGGAAGTGGTGGAGCAGATGGCGGGCTGCGCCGGGCTGGGAGGCAGCGCGGGGGCTGCTGTCAGTGCCGCAGGAACGCGGAGCAGCTCGAGTTCAGCGTGCTCGTCCCCCTTGGGAGATAATGCATATCCTGATAAATCCACAGCCGGGGCCCTGCTGCCTCTGAAATATGGGCTGTTTTTGCACTATTCGTGGCATCGCAGCAAATAGGCGTTGTCAGGAGGAAATTGGTGCTTTCACGGGTAAGCAATTCCCTCCCATACCCGCACAGCTTAAACAGGAGGGATTTGTCTTTTCCCTGTGCTGCTCAGTCTCTGATAAGACCTTCCAGGGACTTTGTCTCCACAGGAAAAATTCAGTGCCATGAAACGGTGATTCTAGATGACAGCCCAGAGCCTCGTACCTGCTGGACTTCTGCAGGTCCCCAGGGGAAGGGGAGGGAGGGGAGGGCACCGGGTAACTGCTGGCACCGGGGCATAGCTGGATTGCTGCTGGCACAAAGTCAGCCCACACTGCCTACACCAAGGCATTGCTGGCGACTGCCAGCCCCCCGAAACAGGGCTGCAATCCCACACGTGTGAAACCCCTCCTGCCTTAACCCCCAGCCATCCCCTCGCCCGGCAGCCTGCCCTCATCAGCGCTTCCTTCCCCAAACTGAGATCGAAACAGTCGCAGCTCCCGACAGTTGATTATTTAAAGCTGTCCGGAGTGTTTAATTTAACCCTGGATTCATCATCCGCAGCTTGTTTCCATCCACTAGACACCCGCGCTCCCCCTCGCAGTGTAAACTCTGCCTCTGGCGGGCTCTTCCCCTCCGGGCAGACTCGGGCAGAGGTTTGCAGGCCGGGGCCGGGGGCCCGCCCGGGTTTACTCCACGGCC